CTCGAAATTCGGTGAATCAGCCTATCAGTAATTTTATGCTCATAGGGCAAAAATCGAGTAAAACGCTCATAATTCGACAAATGAAAATCAGAAAACTAAAGCAAAATAGACTTATTCAATACTCATCATAACTGATCAAGTGGTAATAGTTGCGAGCGAAAAGCGATTGAATACAGTTGAGAATTTTTCCTCGTTAGATGTTACTTGTAACTAAGGATAGATAAGATTACAATACACAATTTTGTCGCATGGGGAGAGTATGAAGAATGTGACATTTAAGAATAAAAATAGGAATGAGGGGAAGATGACGTTGAAAATATTGCATCTCTCTAATCAAAATAGGTACTGAGATTAAAGTATGATTAATAGAGATCGTTTATTTTTTCCTTATAGAATCTCAAGATATTTAGTATTGACTTGGTTGTTCGAATAGAACGAATTAATGAAAACATTGTCCGAAATTTCAGCCAAAGATGCGTAAATTAGCCATTTTTCGACATATTTCAAGTCAAAAAATTGCTATTTTTCACTACATTCCAAATTAGAAACAAAAATGGAAGTACATAAGACACGTGTATGTGCATGCAGCAGTGTCAAAGGCCTCAAAAATGTCTACTTTACCCCTAATGTCTGCTAAGAATATGCGGAACTTTACATATCATATAAAATATCACGTATATTAGTAGTTATAGAAAAAGTAAAAATATGAATACTCCAGCAGCGGACATTTATATTAGTGGACTTTTCGATTCTTTGCAAAATGTTTCTCTCTTGGATTGAATGATATCTTTATAAAGATTTATTATGATCTATGGAATGTGAAGGTATATATTTCTTCAGATGCATCTTCATCGATGTGTTTTTTTTAAGCATGTAGAGAAATTCTTTTATGAATAATAATGATGATCTATTGAAAAGAGAAAAGTCTGTTAGGTGAAAAGAAAATTCCACTAAGAAATAAAAATGTAAGATATATTATCAGAGTATGATAGAAATTTGGCCTTCTTTTGATTGATTACTAAAGTCCTTCTATTCATTAACGGACAGTAGATAAAATGAATATATTCGGGATCTTTAACAATTCTCTCTTAGTCATATCGCCAATCGCGGGTAAACTCAATTTTTTTTTGAAAAACTTAAACATGTTCACAAAAAAAACCTTCCATGAGGATTTTATTGTCTGAATCAATAATAACTCAACAGAGCAAAGGATCTAGGTGTTGAGATTTTCACTTTTGGTGCACTGTGTAAACTTTAATAAATTGTTTGTATTTTTTTTGTTTAGTTTACACCCGAAATGTTTTCATCACTTTCATCAGATTTTGATAAACAAATGCAATTAATTGATGAATATTTTTCATTATGGCAACGTTCAAAATCTTCACAATTAACAACAACAATTAAAACAATACTTTCGAAAGTTTGTTTTTTTTGAATATTTTTACTTTTTAGAATTCAATATTCTTCTTTTGTTATTTATTAGTTTACTTTTGATTCTAAACATTTTTTAACTTATTGGAAAACTATTCTTGAACCTAATAATCAAGAAAATAATTCTGATATACAACAAAATCGTTTATCAAATAAAAAATTAATTATATCAAAAACAAATGAATTAATATCAACAAATTCAATAAATACAATGATTAATTGGAAAAATTTATTACCATCATTAGAACTTTTACATAATGATCAATTATTAATTAATAATCGACATAAATTAATTCGTCCAATTTTTCTTATGCTTGAAAAATCTTTAAATCAAACAAATGAATTCGAACAAAAAACATATATTCATCAATTATGTACAACAGCTTTACTTAATCTTTATACACAATTAAAATCAGGTTAAATTTGAATTTAAAAAAAAAGACCAAGATTTTATTAAATATATATGTTTATTGTTTGTTTGTTTTAGATGAATGTAATCCAGATATTTTTAATAGTGAAATTGTTATGGAATGTATGAGACGTACAAATGATTTACATACAACACAACAATGTCTTATGCTTTTATCTAAAGGCGCACAATTATTTCCTGTAAGATTATATACAAATAGATCTCAAGAACTATCAGATCACATATAAGAATAAATAAAGTCCAACAATGTTTTATTATAGACTCTATCTTTCCAAAGAACGATTCAAAACTACGTGAATTATTAGGGTTAAAGAACTTGAAACATAAGTACCAGACCTATGGACTAGAAAAGTTCAAGATGATATGGATCCTTGTTATGATTTGACTGTGATTGAGAAGTCTATTGAAATCTTTCTCTAGGAGTCTAGTTTTCCAGTAAAACTTTTCAATCTTAGTTAAATCGTAACATGAACCAATATCATCTTGGATATTTCCTAGTTTAAATGTCTGCTACTTATGGACAAAATATGGAGCCAAAAGTGACGAACTACTTCGAACGGTTCTCTCGTCAGTTTCCAATACAGCAGTGTATAATAATGATAATAGTTGTAGAAAGTATATCATGAAGGTAGCTTATATTCGTGTTGATTATGATTCATTAATTTTATGTTTTAAAAATATATATCTATTATATTACTAATTTTGCACAGAATAGATTAATATGTTGATATACTTAGTCTTTGATCTAGATTTTCTCTTCTAAAAGAGCTATTTAAAACTCCGAGAGGATGAACATCTATTTTGGGGAGTACAGACATATAATATAAACACGATAAAGATCAACCGGATCTTCGAAAAAGTGCTGCCTTCACACTAGATAAAATACTGCAGATACTGTGTAGAGCATGTGCTAGAAAATTTTCATCAACCAAACGTCAGATTAATGTCAATTATTATTCCTTTTTATCAATAAACATCTTCAATTTGATTTTGTATCATATTTAGGAAAAATTAATTAGTATGATTATGGCAATGTTTGCTTTTGTTGGTGATCGTCTTGTACGTAAAGATGATTTATATAGTTATCAAGTTATGGAAAAAACAATAAAAACTGTTATACCATCTTTATATAAAGTAGATTTTGTTTTTTTTTTCCTATTTAAAATAAATAAATAATTTAAATTTAAGGAAAAAAATCTTGAACAACGTCGACCAATACTTGCTAAAATTACTCATGTTTTTGTTACATCATTAGCACATTTACCAGTACATCGTCGTCAAGATATATTTCGTATGCTTATGGAATCAATTGGTCAAGATGAATGTCTTTGGTTTGCACCAATACAATTATTTGATTCAGTTCTTTTATCACCAATAAATAGAAAAAATGAAGAAACATTAAAAGTAAAATAATTCAAATGATTTATTCTTTGTTTGATTTTTGTTTTTGTTTTTTTTAGAAATCTTTAATCGATGCTAATGAACAAATGTTGAATAGTTTTAATCAATTTTCATCAGCAACTATACTTATTAGTCTTACACGTATATTAAATGTTCTATTAAATCTACCTGATCAAATAACAAGTAAATAGAAATTCTCTTTTTTTCTTCTATTAGATAAAAAAAAAATCTTGTTTTATTATTAAAGAAAATCAATCTACTCCATCAACATATTCACATTTAATTGATTTACGTTTATATACAACAAAACATATTCATGTATTTAAATATCAATTATTAGCATTTGTTAATAACATTCTTTCTGCTGATTTTTTTATTAAAATGGTAAATTATTATTTTTTTTTTTTTACTTTATTATTCAAATCAAATTCTTTTGTTTTTGATATTATTTTAAATAGATTAAAAATGGTCTACATCAAGAAAATGAACTCAATTATTTAAATGAATTAATTCAAACAATTCTTCATTGTTTATTATGGGGTAATAAATTATCTGAAGATGATATTGATATAAGTCGTTATAATAAATCAATATTAAATAAAATTTATGATTGTTTAAATAAAACTATTGCATTATTAAATGGTTCAATGTTTGTTAATATTATATCAAATTTACTTCAACAACAACAAACAAATGAAAAATTACAAAGAAAAACTTTAGAAATATTAAATATACGTCTCAAAGATGAATTTACAACAGAAAATGAAGTAAGTCTTATTTTTGTACAAAAAGATCTAAAAGGAATGTTGAAACATAGGAGAAAAATTTAAATCTCCTTCCTACAGATGATTATGACAGATGCTAGTTAGAGACCGTGAAAAGTACCTTCGCAACACTCCTACATTCACAGACCATGAGGGACGTTGTTGATATACAATCAAAGATTGTGGATCAATAATGTCTTGTTACTAGTTCCGTACTGAATTTCTGAAGAAGTAAATAAAAGAATGATGAATAAATGTGTCTCACAAGTAAAATAATCTCTCTGTAAATAGCAAGAATGACTACATCATATTTTACATTTTAATCCTTTGACGATGGAGTTATTTTTAAAACAAATAAATTAAAAATCTATTGTTCATATAGTACATTTTGAAAATTATTGACGATTATGTTTCTCGCACTTAGATTTGACTTAAAGATACAATGTTGTTGCCAGTGTCGTCTATGTCGAAACACAACAAATATTGAAAGGACCTCTTTTAGTATATGTTGGTTTTCGTCTTCTAGTCAAATTTTGAAAACGTAAATCTTATGAACTTTGCCGTCAAAGGATTAATTTCGGAAGAATTGTGCTAACAATTTTCTATACAAAGAATTAAAAGAAATAAAATTGAATTTTTGTTTTTTTTTTACTATTTAGATTGTATTGTTTTTACCACATATGGATAATTTATTATCAATTGTTAATAAATATTCAACACATGAACAAGAACAAACAGCACAAACAGCTTTATTTTCAATTAAATTATTAGCTAAACGTTTAGCTGAAAAACATCCAACAGAATTTTTATCAGTAAGTTTATATTTTTAAAGTTTACATTCTTATTCACTGATTGTGAATAATTTTTTTATCAAATATTCGAATGAGAGACGAATGTAAAATATTTTTTCTATTAATTAAACATTTTATCTATGATAAGAAAAGGCTAGTAAAATGTTTGCTAAAACTTTTTTGGTTTTTCAATACAATCAATTCTATCATATTCTATTATTAAATCCTACATTGATGTATTCATTACAAATTAATTTTTCGATCAAACAGAAATAGTTCTAATTTTATTTTTGACGAAACAGGAATATCAATTAACATTTCGACGAAATAAGAATTCATTCAGGTGAATAGGTCACGTCCATATTTATTTAGCAATTAATATATAGATGTGAAAAGACTTTGACATCTATATGTATTCTTATTGTCAACATATATCAGATTTTACGAATGACTGCACTTATCACGCAAAATTTTTTAAAAAATCGATCAAATGTAGGAATAGCCTCTGTTTCGGTTATTGCATAAAATATTTTCTTAGAAAAATGAGGTATGTTCAGATTTCCAAAAAAGGAAATGATCCAAATTTCTGAAATTTCCATCAGATCGATAACTATATAGCAGTGCAAATCAAAAGTTCTTAGACATATCGGAAATTTCAGAAATTTGAGCAATTTCTGTAATTTCAGAAATTTCTGTAAGTACATAATTGCGAAAATTTCAGAAATTTCTGAAATTACATCATTTTAGGAAGTAGCGTGCAATTCAGAACACAAATGCTTGAGAGCTCCGAAACTTCCGAAATTTCCTTTTTCGGAAGTCTGAACACTGCTGTCTCTGCAAGATCTAATAGTTGAGTATTCGTTTAATTTATTTCTCCATAAAATATATCTGACGGTACAACCATTACCAGAAAGTTCTGTGTTCATCTCTTGTTAAGAATTCAATTTTTTATTGACATAACACTTCATTCATAGTAGTTTATGAAAGATAGTTGATTATAAAATAATATTTTTATTATA